TTGTATATGCTTTAATAAAATATATTTGATTTAACTTTGTTAATGGAGATTTCCTGATTCCTTATATCTCTTTTCTGTCTGAATGTTTTACTAAAGACACCAATACATGAAAGATGTCTATGTGTTCCTACCTGAACCTGGAAATACAAAAGCCATGCTTGCAGTTTCTGCAGTAGCAAGGGCTATGAAGGAAATGAATAAGGTGGCAATATTACGGTGTGTCTGGAGAAAGGGACAAGCACATGTTGTCATTGGGCTCTTAACACCCAATTTATCTGATAGAGAAAATATTGTAGGTTTTTCTTTTCTCTGTTTCTTGTATTATGTGTTGGTTTATCTGTACAGCCTTCAATTCAGCCTCTTTATTTATTTTAATTATTTATTTTTTGGTTCTCTGATTATGCCATGCAGCCTGATTCATTTTACTTCAACGTCCTTCCTTTTGCTGAGGATGTGCGAGAGTATCTATTCCCTTCCTTCACTAATTTCCCAGCATCATGGCAGCCGAATGAGCAACAGCTAGAAGCTACAGCTAACTTAATAAAAACATTTGATCTTGCACCCCATGGGAAAGAGGAAGTTTTGCTACCTGACTTTACACCAAATCCAGTCCTGGAGGTACATATTCTATCCATTCATTTTGTTTCTAGCTTATTTTGTAACTTATGCCTTCATTGTTCACTTATATTTCCATGTTCTTTTTAACTTGGAAGAATTTAAAGTTTTGTTCATGACATGGATTTTCTTCTCTTATTATTGTTACTCAGAATCTGAATTTAGCATACCCTTGCTGGCTAGAGTTAAGAGTTAGTACTGAATGTTTTAAGATGTAGAGAACGTGTGCTTAATTTCAGCTATCTTGTATATTTTAACGTCTCCACTGTGTAAAAATTAGTGTTGAGATGAATTTGAAGATCAGTTAGCAGATAAAGTTTTTTCCAATCTTTTCAGCGTTTTTATCGTTTTCTTGAGCTGAAATCAAAGGATCCAGATGCCACAGTACCTCCTCTTGATGACACACTCAAGAAAATTACAGAGCCTGATGCTGACCTGCTTTTGCAAAACAAATCTGTGATAGACTCATTTTGTAGTTCCTTTGAGCTAAAGGGGAATCCCTTGGTAAGAATTGTGCTTTGCTCCTGGTCATTACAAACATCAATTATGATTTACATTGGAAACATCTTGCATTCTTGCCAGTTGCCGCAGAAAAAGTCAAGGCGTTTCTTGCGAGATAAGAGATCTATTTCAAGTGACGAAGAGGGTAAAGGAAACATAATTGCTCAGCCTGCCAATCTCATTGAAAATACATCAATTAAAGTTGAGAAAATTGGCGACCTGACTCCTGTCCAAGATTTTGAAGCCATGGTTTCACGCCGAGATAGTCCAGATTGGGTTGTAAAAGCAATTACAGATATGAAAAATAAAATATTTGACCTTGTAGAGGATTCCCATGCAGGTGATAACTATCCCAAAGCACTGGAATGTTTAGTTGTGCTTCGCAAAGGTTGCATCCTTGAGCAGGTAAGAACATTTCCACTTTAACCTTTAATTTTTCTGGTATCCCTATTTGAATTTCTGTGTTTTTATCTGCCCAGGATTCTAAACTTACTAAATCCACAAACTTTTCTGTGAAGGAACCAAAACAGTTCAACGATTTTCTTCGACATCTTTGCAATTTCTGTCAAGAGAAAAACCTTAATAGTTTCTGTGAATTTCTTTCTTCTAAGGGACTCACTTTGATCTCCAAAACAGAAGCTGTAGACAGGTTTTTTTAATCTCTCTTATGAATCAATTCATTTGGTTTTTGACCAAATCCAATCGCTTCGTGTGATCCATTTAGAACGGAATAAGGCTTTTGTTTTTGTTTATGATTCAATTCATTGAATTGTTCTTTTCTTTGATCATAATTTGTCATATGGTTTTGCTATGCAGTGAAGTTACCGATGATGAAGCCAGAAGTTTCATGGTTAAATCTCAACCAAAAGTTGATTGATTCCTTCACCATATGTGCTTAAACATCTGAGAGCTTTATTTTTATGCCTCAGTAATGAATAGATATCTTGTATAGGCAACTGTTCTGGTAAAAAATAGGAGTGCATTGTAAATTTATATGTACTCACCTGGGATTGTGACACTTGATGGCAATTGTGAGAAATCAGATTTTGGCAAACTTAAATCAAATTCATTAAGCTTAATGCATAAAACTTTCGCAATCTAGTTTTGGTTATGATATGATAAAACCAGTAGGAAGTTTGACGCAGTCGTATGATGAATGTTAAAGTTGGTTTATATTCCCAGTTTTCATGAACTGATACTATTTTAGCACTGTGTGCTAATAGACCAATGGATTTTGGTCTTCTGTTTTTGTCTGAATGTAGCTCAACCTTTATTTTGTTTGCTTGAATTTCGTATTCAAATATTCAATACTTATTAACTTAATTTAAAATTAATATTTTCTTTTTTTATTTTCAAATATTACATGTTATTGAAAATTATATATTTTTTGGCAAACCTAAAACATTTAATTTTAAATGATAAATTGAATTGATTTTTAAATATCTGTAAAAATAAAACGTCTGAATCCTATTTTTGTCTTAAAACAAGACATACAATTAATTTCAATTAATTTTTGTATTTAATATTTATTATTAAGTAGAGATTTAAGGTATAAGAGTGATAATAAAATACAAGTATTAAATAACAGTTTACTTAAAGAAATAATAATAATAATAATATAACAACACTGTCTATAATCGGCATAACTTCGAGAAGCATGCGGTGCATTAGAAGCACCCAAAACCCATGATAATTATTGGACCATTATGTTAGCCGCATCACAAGAAATCACAATGTATACACCAAAAATTCATAACCATATATGTCGTCGAATTCAAAATAAATAAAAATTAATTCAAATAATATACACTTAATCCTCTTAAGAAAGGTTTTAAATTTAAATTTGTGTAAAAAAATAAATTCTCGTGCATTGTTATATAAATGTTCCTGGTTCAAATAAGAAGAATGAGTTAGTACTTTAATAATCAACTTCATTTTAATGGATACCATATATGTAACACATTCATATAATTTTTATACAATAAAAAATCTAAAATAAAATAAATGACATAATAAAAAAAAACTGTATAAAGTATTAAATTTTGCTATAGCCTCTTATTTATCTTAATATTTGTTTATTACTTTATGAAATAAGTATTAAATAAAATAGTACATATATTTATTATATTAAATACTTTCTCTATCTAATAATTAGAAATATTTATAAGAATAAAAGATAAGAGTATTTATAATTATTCAAAAGCACTAGATAAATAAAATAACTCTACTTTTATTGCAATCAGGTCTTCTTAATGCAATGTACATCGAGTTGAAATGAAAGTTGACTAAGTTTACATTGAAAAACAGAACACTTAGCCGAATGAGAGAAGGAGCAACATGCTTTGGTGTTTAATTATGAGTGAGTATCATGTTTTGATGTTTATGGAAAATGGAGCAGAAAAGTGGCGATGGCAGTGACACGAATGCATCCAATCTTGTGTTGTATTCTTTCTGTTTTCGCTTTATGCCTCAATGTGGAATAATAAAAAGTTTAGTATATTGTTTTTAATTATTTAAAGAGCTTTTCAACTGTTAACTTATCCTTTCTGTGTTTATTTTAATCCCCTTGTTCATTTCAATTGTAAAAATGAAATTTTTATAACTTTCCATTTCTGGGTTTTTGTTTTGAAATTCTGAGAGAATGACAACCCCCACCCCAAAATTCCTCCCTTAAAAATGAAATCCATTGCAGCATCTTCTTCTCTGAATCAAGAATAGCTATGCCTAATACTGGTCTTTTTACAAGGAGAGCAATTCGGTATTCAGAGCTTTATAATGTATATGCAGTGCTTTAGGAGACAAATTCAATAACTATTCATCAATTCTTAAATTTCAGAATTCGAGAGATTGAATCCTCTGCATTATGTTCCAGTATTAGTTGATGTCCAAATAGACAACTTTTTTATATTTCATTTTTTCCGATATGCTTTCTTTGTTTAGAATGAAAAGATTAAAGAGAGATGCAAAAGATGTAGGAAAATAATAATTTCATGTGTTTGTATTTTTATTTTTTGTGAGTAATATATATATATATATATATATATATATATATTTGTGAGATTTATAGTTTATTTATTTTTTACTATGTGAGATTAATAAATTCAACTATTAATTTAAAAGTTTATATATATAAATTAATTTTATAAATTATAAATAAAAATAAAATGAATAGGTATTGTATTATTCTATTTCAATGATAAATGTTTTTAAAATATAAATAAATATTATATTTTAGATTTATCTATAAATATTTAAATCAAGTAAAATTTAATATACATAATCATAAAAATAATGAGATAATTTAATAATTAAATTGATTATCTTGTATTTTTATGAAAAATTATTAATTGGTATAATTATTTAAGTCAACAAATCCTTACACACACTCTCTCCATATATTTTTTAAATATTTTAAAAAACATAATAAAAAAAATATTATATCAAAGTTTTCATTTATAATAATTACGATTAAAATATTTTTTTATAAAATTTGCTTTTTTTACTCTCTTAGTTGTCTAAGCAATAAAAAAATATTATTTATATATTTTTTTATTTGTCAATCTAAATAACACATCTTTTTATTTTTTTTACTTACTTTTTTTATCCATTATTCATTTCATAAAAAAACTAGCCTTATGATGAAGTGACCAAGCTCAAAGAGAGTAACATATTACCAATTGCCCGTCTAGCTCAGTCGGTAGAGCGCAAGGCTCTTAACCTTGTGGTCGTGGGTTCGAGCCCCACGGTGGGCGTGTGCGAGTGCCTTTACCTTTTAAAAGATGTGGTGTGAGATTGTTTTCAAACAAATCATTTTGTTATACTTTTTGATTGAACGCTACCGATCTTTCATCGTATATATCATTTTTCGTTGACATCTCATGTTGAAGCATTTTGTCGCAGTTAATTTCAATGGCTTTATAATTCTCGTTACATCAAAATTATGCACTGGAGAGCCGTAGAAAAGAAACACTAACCATAAATTTTCATTATGCTGATGTATACATTTTCTATGCTCCTGAAACATGGAGCAGAAATCACCTAGATTGGATGTAAGCTTGGGAGTATAAAATTGTTAATGGTGTAGCTTGAAGCAGTATATCTTCTTCACCAGTTGCTAGTAATCTTTACTTCACCAAATAATTTAAATTTGGCAACTATAACCACCTACTTTTTGTCTACTCACTAAAAAATTCCTAGCCAATAAATTCAGCATGATACAAGGCTAAGAAGCAACAAAATTGTCATGTTTCAACTCATCCAATTTTTTATTTTTTTTCCTCCATGATGCTGCACAGCTTCCATCAAGTTTGGGTATACCAAAGGACGAAAGAAAAGCATCTCTCGTGCGGGTAAATTAGTAAAGGAATGTGGTTGAGCATGCTATGGTAGAAATTAGCGTGCTGAGGTAATTTAGGATGAATACAGTGATGGAGATGCCCACCATTTCTTGTCAACCCACCGCTGGCTGTGGTTAAAACTGTGATGCATTCTTTTCCTGCATAAGGCAACAAAATATTCAAGACACAAAAAATGACGTGCTGCTTCATAGAAGATGCAATCTAGGCACCATATCAAATTGCAACTCAATCTTCCACCCAACACATTCACAACAGCCAAATAAATGTAGGTCTCCCCCAAATTATACAGCAGATTCTTAGTAAAATTTCTCACTAATTATATGTAAAACTACTTTGCAGACGAAAAACTATATGTAAAATATTTGACGCATTTTTGTCAATACAGGAATACAACAGTAACTCTTATTATAGAAAGTTGCAAATAATCAAATAATGTGTGTTTCACCTTTTAAGAGTTGAGCAATCATCGCACGGCTTTAGATTTTCCCTTTTTTTTAATACTTTTATGCAGAGGGCGTTCTTGTGTTTCCATAAGCACTTCATTAAGCATTTGTAACCATAAGTTTTCAAAGTGTTTGTGAAAACTCTGCTGAAACCAATCCAAAATTTCTGAAAACAATTCCCTTGGATTCTCTTTCCACACTATTCTTAACATAGCTGAGCTATCAATCAGCCTGCTATTTAACTTGCTTAAAAGATTTCCCACCCTTTTCTGACCAAATGCTTCTCTCTTCATAATACTTTCAGGAGGGGCTGACATGCATTTTCGAACAGATTTTAAACATGGACACACCTGGCCTTCAAGCAAAGCATAGGCAAACACTTGCACCCGATGTTCATAATTGCTAATGAGCAATGAATGCTTTGGAAGCTCCCAACAGAAACGTCCAAAGGTTGGGATTACCCAACATTTTACTTGGTCAGTCTGGGCATCATAATAAGGTTTGGGATCCGTCAGGGGAGGAGAGAAGATGCATGAAGACTTTGCATGTTCAACTAGCCAAGCTGGCTCCACACTTGTTACTCCATGCATATATGCTCTCTTGGCACTTGTTATCCCTTGTTTGTTTGGTCTTTTGGTCTCTAACAGTTCATTGTAAACCAAAAACTCAGGGCTTACAATGGAAACAGATGACCAACGATGAAGGAAAACACTTTCATCAACCATGCATGATTGATACCTAACAGCACGAAAAGGTTTCTCTCCATTGGAGGCCCTAGAAGAAACTGTACTGCGTTTAGCAACCCTATCTGCCCAACCAGCACATATTGCTTGACAGATGAGCCTTTCCTCAACCAGAGAAAGAGGATATTTTTTAGAAGAAACCTGCCATGCATGTTCTACATCCTCTAAATTTCCATGAATCCAAGAGTCCTCTTCTTCAAAACCACCTCTATCACTCTGATAAAAGACCAGTTTGAGTAGCTGTTGTCGAAGCTTGGACATTTCATCCATTGTTTTGAAATGCACTGCATTTTCATCACAGAATTCTACTGACTTTCGTGAATGTTCAAAACATTGCAAAGCATAAGCTATGGTTAGGGCATCACTAGTAACAACTCGAAACTTTTCTCTTGCAACTTTAGCAGTTTCTTTTAGTTTCTTTCTCCGCAACTTCTCTTTTTTATCAATGTCTTTCCCTCTGTCACCCATGCTAAATTTCTCAGACATCTCTGAATCTCTGCTGCTATCATCTTCATATTGCATTATAAAAGGATTTGACAAGCTCAAAGCTGCAGCAACTGCAACCGCATATGCCAAAAGCAGATTTTGATTACATTTATGCTGGTGTCTTGTATTTTTAATAACGGTGAGGAGCATTCTAGAATGACGAGGACTCAAGGGATAGTGTGCCATGGCTTTGCCCAAAACAGTAAGTTCATCCTTGCTATCAAGTGCTTCAAGAGCTTTCAAACAATTCTCAGCCTCGAGCAGAGAAGCAGCTTTTAGAGAAGTAGGAAATGGGAAGTTTGCAACCTGGATGAGATGCAATAAGAATAAGCATAGAAATACCTCAAACTAAAAGACAAAGAATAAAAAGTGAAAAGAATATTCAGTTTGACCAGGCAGGAATGGAGTAAATTACATAGCCAGGCAATTGTGCTCAATAAATTTCCTGATATAGAACAAAATAGACTATGCAGGAGCGAGCTTTAAGATTATAAGTAGCACATAATGTCTTGCAATCAAACAGCAGCAATCTAAATGAATGCAATCTTGTTAATGATGTATGTAGAAGACCTTTTGGCTTAAAAAGGACTCCATTCCCTCACTCATTACATGATAATTGATAAATAGCCAAGCCATCAGAAAGGACAAGTACATGATGAACTATTTCTTCCTCTGTCTGCTAATGATAGCACCCAACATAAACAAGCAAATGGAATGAAAACACAGAGAGGATAAAGTATCATACTAAACATACCTTCTTAATATGCATGGATTTCAAGAGAAGGACCACACCATGAACAGGTACTTTCTCAACTTCAGCAGGAGAGTGCTCAGGAAATTCATTATTAAAGGCAGCAGAAGAATAGAGACGATAACAGTGCCCAGGTCCAGTTCTTCCAGCTCTGCCTGCACGTTGAGCGGCAGATGCCTTACTTATCCATTGTACTTCATATGTTTCCATGCCATTAGAGGAGTCATAATTTTTCACCTTTTCTCTTCCAGTATCAACCACATACTTTATCCCTGGGATTGTTAAAGATGTTTCAGCAACATTTGTGGCAATGACAACAAGCCGTTCTCCCTCCTTGACTTCCTCAAATACACGAAGTTGAGCTGTTGCAGGAAGCATGGCATACAGAGGCAGAACAAAGAGTGCACCAGGAGGACTGCAGTTTTCTCTAGCTCTTTTCTCCCTGAAAACTTTTGATTGGTCTAAATTACCTTCTGTATTCATAGGAAATGTCTGCTCCCCATTTGAGGAGCTTAATGGAGCTTGCCCAGACAATTTTTCGAAGGCAGCCTTCAGTGAAGCAAGACTTCCTTCCTGTCCTAAGATATCCACATTATTACTTTTGTTCTCCAAATGCTGAAGATTATCATCATCATTGAATTCCAGTTCACTCTCTGCTTCTGAATCATAAGAAAAATCTGATTCATCCTCATTTACATCTTTCTCATCTTCATCATAGCCACTAAATCTATCAGTTTGCTGAATGGACGAGCTTCCATGAACCTCAAATGCTTCATTGATCTCATTAATATTGATTCCTTCAACAGAATTTGTTTCATGGACTGCAGTACTATCACTTTCCATGGACCCTTCAACATTTTTCTTGATAAACTCCCTTGAAGCTTTGCGTAACTTCCTGCACAAGTCCTCTACTTCCCTTTGTCCTGTAACAAAGACAAGTATGCCCCCAGGTGGCAACCTCTTGTGAATTGCCAAGACCTTCTTATATGCTTCTCCAATATAATCTGTTTTCTCTGTTTTCTTTGAGAAGTATACTGTTACTGGAAATTGCCTTGTAGGAACTTCTATCACAGGTGGAGGAGTACAAAATAACCTTCCAGAAGTAAAGTCTTGTACTCGCAAGGTGGCACTCATAAGCACAAGTTTTAGTGGAAAAACCAGTTTTTCAGGACTTATACTTTCCCCTGAAAGCATCATCTTCTGCTGTTCATTATAAATCTGTCATTTAATAGTAAAATAAAAGGCCATCCTTATTAGAATGTTGGATCCACAATTATTATATAAAGAAATTTTAAAATATTTCATTTGTAAACATTTGAAAAATAAATCACTCTCTTACTCACCATTTGACGAGTTTTAATTACTCGTGAGAGCATTCCGATCAGAATGTCTGTGTTCAAGCTCCTCTCATGAGCCTCATCAAGAATTATGACAGAATAACGCCTCAGTAAAATATCATTCTGCACCAGTTATTCAATCAAACATCATCAGCACATATGATTCTGTAACTCTATTACCAATCTTGTTTAAGCATAACTAATAAGTTTTGTTGATAAGAATGATGCTTGCAACTGCTAATGATAGTTAACATGGTATGAACAAATGAAAGTGGAAAATAAATCAACTTTTACTTTCCAATTTAAAGTGATATGAAATATATATATCATCTTAAAATGTGCTCACATGCACACATATAGAATAATGTTACCAACAAACAGAAGTTCCCAAGTTGGTGATTTCCTTGGAATGATGAATTAAGATATTACATAATGAATAATAAATTCAAACATTCTATCAAGTATAAGTAACATAAAAGAATCCTTAATACAGACAAATGTTTCTTAGTTCCTATGAACTTATCAGCATTTCCACAAACTGAACAAATATTTCGACAAATTTATCATTTGTTAATCAGCAAAAAAATTGATAAAACTTGATAGGACTTCTCAAAATGAAAACCTAGACAAAATATTGGGGTAAAATATAATGACCTGAACTTCTCGTAGCAAAATTCCATCAGTCATAAACTTGATAGAGCAACTTTCTCCAATCCTCTTATCATATCTGACCTGAAAACCAACCTCCTTTCCTAGGTGAAGACCAAGCTCATATGACACACGCTTGGCAGTGGCAAGAACAGCCACCCGACGTGGTTGAGTAACACCAATAATACCCTTACTTGAACCATAGCCAGCTTCATAAAGAAACTGATAAATTTTGAAATTAAAAAGAAAATAATCAAAGGATAAGCTAATTCAAATGATAGGCACTATCATCATAATCAGGTATCAGACAAACTCACCTGAGGAACTTGGGTTGTTTTACCACACCCAGTTTCTCCACATATGATAACACTAGAATGGTCATTTATAGCTTCCATTATCTCTTGCTCCATCATAACTATCGGCAGATCCTTTCTTTTGTCTTCAATCTCAGTTGGTCTGTATACATGCACAACAGTAGGAACATTTGAAGACCTCAGGGAAGAAATATCTGGAAGGTTACTCAATTCATTGACATTGGAGTTAGGGTTCCCATCTGTCCTATCCTGTCCCATGTTAAAAAATGCCAAATAGTATTAGAGTAAAATACAGAAAGACAAAGGAGATCATTATGATGTCAATCAATAACAAACTATGACATCTTAATTCAACAGCCATTACAGATATATAAGCATAGTGTAGTGCGTAAACAAGTTAATTCCTTCTAACAAAATAGAATCTGAAATTTGGAGTAATTTTTACTTACACAAAAAGAAGGTAAATTGACAGACAAATATTAAGACTAAGGCTTACTCTTACTAATTCATACGTGTTATAAATATGGGCTATTCATCCAATGGTCCAAATGACAGATTTGAATTATATCTTGTATCTTGATCATACACAGCAATATTCCATTTGAGAAGGAACTATACCTTTGACAAGGTGCTTCTTATTTCATCAATAGAACAAGACGTGGGAGAAGAACTTCTGACTTCATCAGGTTTCTTGTCGACGGAAATATCAGCAATAGGTTTAGGAACATAGTTATAATTTACAACTTCAGTGCCATGAACTCCTGTTCTAACGGGTGGAATTTGAATGATGTCTTTTTCTTCAACTTGATGAACTGGGGACAAATGAATCTCTTCTGTCTCATGTTTCTTAGAGGGCCCATCAAGTGAAACCTCCAATCCTTCTTTCAATATATGTACAGCTCTCCTACGTTTTTCCTTCATAGTCTCATCCTACAAATATACAACTGACTTCAGTAAATAAACTGTCTCAACTCAACACATTATTTTATTCATAAAATTAACACTGCTTTTCGATGGTACAAACCCGATTGATATTACACGACGACTGCAAAAGAGGATATGCATAGTCCGGAAGTGTGTTTTCACTGAAATTAAAAACAAATGAAAAAATTGGCATTCCAAATTTTGATCAACAGCTTAGTGCTTCCTGCAGAAAACAGCATTAAAGCAGGAACTACAACTTAAGAATAATTCACACACATACTTCATTGTCTTAATGGCTTTTGCCAACAGAAGTTGCTTCTCCTTGTCATCCTGCATAAACAAAGGGAACCACACAAAATGAGACTGAAAACAAAAGAGAAGAGAATGAAAAGCATTCACTTTTTCTCCATCCAACAAACCTCTAACTTCTTGAGCTTCTTCTTCTGAGGCTTGCTCAGCTTCTGTTTCTTATTTGATTGGACTTTGCAATGTTCCTAAATCAACAGGACTTTGATCATACCAATTGTGAAAACATGTAAATTGAATGAAGACAAACATAGCCATGTTCAACTGTCCCTACCCGTTCCATCCCTTTTCTTTTCTTCATCCTCTTGCCCGGCAAAATTAGCGTGTTACTATCACCATCTCCCAAACTACAAAAAGAAAATAAAAATGTAAGTATCATTCAGAGTGTAATTTACACAAGTTTGTGTCCTTTTTTTCAGTTTCCATCAGAGAAGGCAATTTACCTTTGAGAACTGAAAGGAAGATGGCCTCCAGAACTTTCCATCTTGCAAGACCAGCACTACCCTACACGATGAAAGAGGTTTGTGAACTCCGAAGGTACATAGGTAAAGGGTGAAAAAGGTATCAAATGGAACAGAAAGAAAAAAAGAAATAAAGTAAGAATAAAATAGAAAAGATGTATCCTTAAAATATAATTTAAATAAATATGAGAGTTGGAGTGTGTACGGTGCTTGAGAGAAAATTTGAGTTCTAGGGTTTCTTTTCTTCTTTGCTTAATTTTTAATTTCATAAATCCCGGGTTTTAAAGGGTAAAGAGAGTCCCATCTTAACATAAGAACACATATTCATGCCCAGTTTTAGATAAGAGTGAGCATGCATTGGATTTATATAAAATTTAAATTTATTTTAAATTTAATTATATAGATTCAATTTTAAATTAATTTAATTTATTTATTTTAATATTTAGATTTAATTTAAAACTGATTTTAAATTTAATAAAATATACTATAAATAATTTTTATACTATTATTAGATTATTATATTAAAAAATATTTTTTATAATAATTAATATAATATTATATCTGCATATATTTTAATAAATTAATAATATAATTTTTTTATATTTATATTGTATTAAAATTAAATTTATATTTTTTACTTTACATTATTTAGCATAAAAATTAATTATATAAATTAAATTTTAAATTAATTTATTTTTATCTTTTAAACTTATTTTTAAATTTTAGATTTATTTTAAAACTGATTTAAAATATGATTTTGGTTGAAACTAATTTTAAATCTAATAATTTATGTTAAGTTAGTTTTAAATCTAGTTTTATCTTAAATTAATTTTAAATTTAACTTTAAAGCAAAATTAATTTTTAATACATTTATAAATTTAATTTTTAATGTAAAACTACTTTATTTTACTACACTGTTGAATTGAATTAGTATATTTTAAAAAGATTTTAGTAATTTTTATTAATTATATTATAAAATATATTATTTTTAAAATATATTTTTATTAAAAATAATTAATGATAAAATTTTAAATTAAAACTTATAAAAAAATACTAATAGTAAATAATGATAAAAATATTGTTATAAAATTTTTTGAAATTAAAAACATATATTTAAATATAAAAATAATATTAGTAATTAATTCAAAATATTTATTATATTTTTATATATTAAATATAATAATTATATTTTAGAAAATATTATTTTAAATATTTAGTCTTAATTATAAGAATTAAGGTTAAAAAAATATTATTTATAAAATGTAGTCATGAAAAAATTTGTGAAATATTAGATGTAAATTTTTGTAAAATGTAAAAAAATATCAGCCGTAAAATATACCGCAGAGGTCTAGAGGTAGGATATAAAATAATATCTCTATGCACAATATAGATTTGGATAAAAAATAAATAAAAAATTTAGTGATAAAAAGTAAATTAAAAATATTAAATCGGTTATAAAGATATGATAATTTAAAAAAACCAGTTTAATATAAATTCAATTTTTTAAAATTAATTTAATATTTGTTATATATTAAACTTGCATAATTAGATTTTTTCGTCCAACCCTAGTTTTGAATTCAGTTTGAATAAGATGGGTTCAATTTTTACAATAAAAAATTATTCCCATTTGTTTGAAGCAGACCTTGTAATCTACTTACAAATTTTAAGAAAGCATTATATCTAATAAGATGTAATCTACTTACAAATTTGAAATTTTTTTTTTAGTATTTATGTATTTATGACCATAAATTTAGAAAAATATATAATTTTTTCTCAAGAGGTATCATAACAAACACTAAAAATACATAGTTAGTATTAGAAAATCCATAAATACTTTTTAATTTTTATAATATTAAAAAATTTATAATTGTTAATTTATAATTTTCTTTCAAATTTTTGAGTATTATAGCAAATATATTTTTATTTTATTATTTTTTATGATTTAATTTTTATTTTCATGTATAATAAATTTTAATATTTATAATTATTTTAAAAATTGTTTGAAGTTTAATAAACTAGCAATCAACCTGTACGGTATCGTAAAATTAAAATGATTTTTTAATAAAAATTAAAAAAATATTATATAGTTATTTTAAAATTTAATAAACTTTATATATTTAAAAAGTAAATACTATAATTATTTATGATAAATATTTTATTATGTTAAATAAAATTAAAAATTAAATATATAATGTAAGATAATAAATATTTAACACAATTAGAAATAATTATCTTTTAAAATTAATTTTATTTAAAGGAACTGAAATCAAGATTAAAAATATATAAAAACTTAAAACATATATAATTACATTTTATATTCTTTAATACAATAATTAATTATGTAAAATTCTCATAAATTTATCATTTATTAAATAACAATAAAATTTTATTATATAAATAATATCAAATATAATTCTATTAAAAAATTAAAAAATAATTATTGAAGAATGAGTGACAAGAAAAGAAAATAAACTTATTTGAAAATATATAAAATACATTTATTTATAAATATTAATTTTAAATAATAAAAATTAAATGACGCTTATTTTTTGATTAATTAGCACATAACAGAGATTAATTCATAATAAAAAAATTTATAAAAACTTATTACAAAATATGTTATAAGACCAATGATATATTTAAGCCTTAATTTTATTATTTAATATTTTTTATTTTTATATATTGTTATTTGATTGATTATTATTATTTTTATTTTTTTATAAAAATTATATAATACCACAATTCTAATATTATATTTTTATTTTGGAATTGAAATTGTTAAAAAATCAATTAATTTTTGTTGAATAATGTCTTTTTCTAATATATATATATATATATATATATATTATTACAAATTATCATTATAAAAAAAATATATTTAAATTTTTATTAAATATTAACATTTTATTAAAGATAAAATTTGAGTATAAAGGTGAAATACTTTAAATCATTATAGTTTTAAAGAAAATTTACCATACATATCAATAGATTATTAATCTAATTTACATTCACAGTATATTTAATTATTTAAATCTAGTTATTAATTATATATGATAAATATATATTAAACTCATATGAATATAATTAATTTGTTCTAGTTTCAAATATTTTAAAATATATATATATATATATATATATATATATATATATATTACAGTTGCAACGAATGTTATAAACTTGGATAAATTATTTGTTTAAAATAAATTTGAAAATAAATAATTATATATAATAATTCAAGACCAAAGTTATCATATGATATTAATTATTAAATATGAATTTATTTTCACTATTATTTTGATATAAATAATTAATTAAATAACATATATAATATTTATTATTTATTTCATATGAAATAAATTTTCACTACTATGAATAACATATATAATATTTATTAAATTTATGTTAGTTAATTAAGCATTTCTTTATTTTATTTCAATTATTATTAATAAAATTTTATTTAGCCTCATATTAAAAATTAAAATAACTCGAATGTGATTCTCCATTCTAAATTTAATATGCAAAATTAAATGTTAATTTAACTATACATTTTTGTTAATAATGTATCACAAGAAATAATGTAATTCAAATATCTTAAAGCCTGCACATTATAAAATTATACAAATCTTAAGAATAAAAGATAAAATAAATTTAAATTTGATTAAAAACAAAAGCTCAAATATCAGTTATTAAATTTGAATTAGAGAATTAATTCTAATGTGTTTCAGTCTTCTACGTTTAGATTCAGAAAGACAAAAATGTAAAACACAGAAGAGGAATATAAACAGGAACAAAAATGGTAACTCATGTTAAAAATTGAAATACTTAATCCAAAAATAACAAAAATAAAATGAAATAAAAATGAAGGTAATTCAAAAGGTAGTCAAAACATGGTAGAGGAAGACTACATTATTTACAGAATCACAGTACTCTTAATTAGATCTAATATGATTAATACAAATTCAACTCCTAATTAGATCTAATATGATTACAAAATGTAATTGTTTTATTTTAATATTATAAATTACAAATTTTATTTTTTGAAAAATTATCTATCAAATTGAAGCCCTTAAAAAATGCTTTTCAATAAACTAAGAATCACTTCAAAAATCGATTTACAACTTAAGATATTATCAAAATAATAAATATAAGTAAAAATTGTTAAAATTTTAAAATTAAAATATTTTAATAATTCAAATCCAATTAATATCTTCTTAATCAATATAGTCCAATAAAATTAATTAAATATTAATATCGTGGAATTTGTTACATTATAACTAAATAAATGTAATTAAAATATGATTTTCTTAAACGTGGTAGATTATAAAGAGTGTACGTTTCAATTTCTATTTACTTGACTCTTATTTATAATATAACGGAAGATATGTAAAATTTTATGATAATGCTACATTGTGAGATAAATTTAAAAATTTATAAAATTAAAAATTGAATATTTTTATTTTAAGTAAAATTCAATATTTTAATCGATAAATTTTGAATTAAAAAATATAAAATATTTATCTGTTTTATTTGAATATGACCTTAGGAACTTTTCTAGTTTTCAATTTTAAAGTACTTAGAAATACACACTATTCTACACAACAGTTGAGATCTGTTTTTCTGTAGGACAATGAGGATAGGAAAAAATGTTAAAATAAAAAGCTATTTAGGGCTTTTAGAAAAATACAAAAATAATTCATAAATTAATATTAAATAATTTATTATTTTTTAAATAAATATTACTTCTTATACTCATATATTTAATTTTTGATTATTTTTTTAAAAGTATAATCCTTAAAAAGTTGTTTGAAAAGAAAATTTTTAAAAGAGAAAAGAATGAAAGACAAAATTTATATTTTAAATAAATATATTTAAAATTTAAAATTTAAAATTTAAAAATATTCCTTCTTCTTTTTCTTTCTAAAAATTCTCTCAAGGGATATATATATATATAAAGTGGAAAGGGCGATACTCTTGTGGTAATTATTGATGTTATTGTCTCAGTGAGGAAGCAAGGTCTGAGCCTACAGTGCTGTGAGAGACGACAAGAAAATGACAGTTTGTCAAACCAAAAGCAAAATTCTTTTAAAGGATAAACAATAACATTCTGAGACTACGTAGGTGCTAACTCAGTAATATAATAATTTGGTCCGGAAACTCAACACATGCCAATTAAATTATAATTTGACCATAAACTGAAGTTCAACCATAAACTTTATTTTTTTGTTGATGTATATTTATCAACATATACTCAACATTAAAAAAAGGAGAATATAAAAATGGAAAATGTAAAAAAAATTATATACTTTATGTAGGCATCCCTTTGCCGGAAGTCGACGTCGGAAATACATATAATTTAATAGCTTAGAACAAATGCCCTTCATATATGAGAGCATGGTGTGGTGTTTACTACGAACAGACCTGAGAAACTTTGTATAAAACAAAATTGAGGGCGGGGGAGGGCGTGGCTAGTGATCATCCCTTGTCAAGGGGCATAAACTTTCTAATGTCTAACCAATAATGGACGAGTAATTGATACAAAAGGGATAGCCAACCTGCTGGTAATTATAATTAGTAGTCTTTTAGAACAGTTTATATCCCGAGTCCATCCAGTGCAACATTACTGTCGCACAATAACTTCAATTTCTGCACATTCACCACACGAGGGAAATTAAAATTAACCAAAAAGAGAAACTAAATAAATATCAGCAACTACTTTGATCATACTCTTCTTTCCAATCCCTATATATATGCCTATCATGATTTATACGGGAATAATTTTATAAGTTTTGTTAACTATAACTCTAAGAGAGCATCTAAAAGTGGTACGTTTTTATTGAGAAAAAAATACATTCATTGCATTAAAGGTATAACAGTGCAATAAATATTTTTATTTTAATAAAATCTTACTACTATTAGTTTACATCCTCCTATAGATCCTTCTACTTGTTAAATGAATGAAGAATTGAATGCATTTTATGTTTTTAAGTAATTAATTGCATTCGTATTTTCATCTGATACTTACTCGATAAAGCCTTTGGACGATTATTCGAAATACATAGAAAGAGGATATAACATTACTCTTTATGTAATATTTTTCTCTCATGGAATGCAAATAGACATCCAACTATATTCTACTTCGTGACCAAGCATCTGATTATTGATTCTTCGAATGCTATTTTCTGGGTATAAAGTTGAATTCTATGTGCTACAAAAGCTATGCAAGTGATCCACCTGATGTAGTAGCAAGCTATGCTTATTGTTATAATATTTTTTCAAATATATATTTTGATGGAAATGTCTCTGAATAAATCTGTTTTAATTTTCGTCCTCGATATTTCCATCTATATTTAACTTTATCTTATTCTTGCATTGAAAATGTTCTACATAGCTCCTTGTGATTAATTAACATGATTTTTAGTTTTCAGAAGAAAGAAAAAACCCAAAGATTAAAATACAGTCCCAATTGAAATGGGAAAGAAGCCATAGTCAAGGACGTGATAGTATATCATTTAACTATGGAATCACCATAACATTTCAAATGAAGGTACTCAATCATGTTAGGCTCGGTCTGTGTAGCTGTGTCAAAGGAGTTTACACATTTACCAAGGTAAAAAATCATGTTGGGAAGTTAATTTTCTCAGAGAAAAAATAAAATTCAATTCTTGGTAACTCAGTTTTAAAGTGTCACACAAGCAAACACTTAGTTGGACCAGAAAAGTATCCTGGCAATAAAAACTGGAATCATTAAAGATGGATTGAACTCATAAAAGAAACCTTAAACATCATAAAGCACCTATATGATGATCTACAAATACAATCAGGACGTTGATTAAATAAAAATCTGCATGATGAGGGCCCTGTACTACTCATTGTGTGAAAATTTGCAAAAATGAATAACAAGGACTAATTACCGTAAGATATTGTGGAGGATCATCCATGGAAGTAGTACCTAGGATTACTTCCCTCTTTAATTTTGTTGTCAATTTGTGACAAACTCGCAGCTGAAATAACCAAATAATAGTATAAGTCGAGATTACAATTGCAATATACCCAGATTCAGTTACAGAAGTTTTTGATCATACTCTACCTCAGATCGAGTAGCCCCTCCAATGATAAACACAAAGATTCGCCGTCCCATCTTCTTGAAATCAGTACTCATGTTCTTCAACGTGGAGTCACTATTGAAAGTGGGAGAAGTTATAAATTCAGGGATGAATTGAAACTTTGCATTTTAAATCACAATTCTAGCATGTTCGGAGTCACTTAAATTTTGAGAAATAATCTCTTATTTTTCAAAAGCTCACTCAGGAAGGTGGCAGATATATTTTTATTCAAAATAAGCTAAACCAAACACGTATATTTTTGGTAAAGAAACAAATTTTGGTTGAGGTTTTAGTTCATGTCACCTTGAATATCCATCATCTGAAGCACGAGACCGTCCCCAGTTTGCTGTGCGTCTAGATCTCATTGAATGAGGAGCAGTAGTGGGAGCTGTCTGGGTGTTTTGGCTGTTTCTAACAGAGCCCCCTTTGGCAGTAGGACTTGGTTCATTTTTACACGAATATTCATTCTTTGACAATTCACCCTTACTAAGATTTTCAATGAGCTCCTGACAAGTGCAATTCCATCTATAATTTGCATTTGATCATATACAATACTGAAACGAAGAATATTTGTGTTTAAGCAAACAAAAGATTTCTTATGTAATATACTTGGAAAGTTTTATTCAGATTCTTTCTCACACATGAAAATATGCCATGTGTAGAACTTTCATGAAGGAAATTGCCCTCGACCCTTGTCATCAGGCAAGCATTACTTAACATATTTTACGTTGGTTGAAGGAGAAGAGAAGGGCTGCAGTAAATTTCTTCTAGTGTGGGTTAGATTACAACCTTTCAGTTGGCACCCGATGTGATTTAACTTAGGCTTTGTTCCGAAGTTAGTTTTTTGGAGACAAGGAAGTGAAGGGGAAGGTTTATGTAATGATTATCCTTGTTTAGGAAATTTTAGCTGAGAGGGGTAAAGTTTGTAAACCTTCCAAAATCCTTTTATTCTTATGTTTTTTAAGTTTATCCAATTTGGAGGATTTTGTATTAACTCACCCTCCTCCTTGCCTCCCTTCCCTTGCCAAACTTCAAACAAAGTCTTAGAGAAATGAATGTACAACGTACTTTATTAGACACATGTTAACCCTCTAAGTCTACAAAACTTCCACTTACCAGCAGCTAAATTTAGAATTCATCTTCATTCTTTAGCAATAAAAATCAGAAGAATATAACTTATCCAATCAATATCACTTCAAACAATGATAACATTAATTCATTAAACTTATTTTATAAATCCTATTTTCGAGTCATATTTTCATATGTCTCCATCTATATTATATTAATGGGTACGTGCCACCATATGACTGGAAAGAACAATATAGCGGGAAACTAGCATTTTCAATGCATAAAATGTAATGTTCTCAGCACAAAATAATTAAACTATGACATTTGATGATATTAAGGTAGAGAGAAAATTGTTTTTCATATGTAACTTGTGAAATCTAATCATAACTAATAAATATGTAAAGTACTAGGAGCAGACTTGTTTCACTAAACCCGGAAATTAGGCAGATCAATCTTCTTGTGCATCTTTTACTTTTTTCTTTGATAATAAATTAAATGAGTAGTCAGATCAATATATCCCCACATAAAAAAGACATACAAAGGAAGGAATTAGGTTGTAAAAGGGTTGGATTTTGTATGCAATAAATTTGGTGAAGTGAGCATGTGTGATATTTAATCATACCTCTATCATGGGATAAAATCGAAATAATTGCCATGTTTCTTCCTCTTCGGCACGATCTTTGCGTGCTGCTTGCTTTGTCTATGCAAGGAAAACAACCTTTTTACAGATAAATTGGTGTGAAAGAGAAGTTATCACACAAGGGCATGCAAGATGAATATCACCCTCAACCTAAAATATCTAAAATCCTAGAAAAGGAATCCACAATTCAAATATATTTATTTCAGTTGCTTTTTATAAATATAAAATTCGTACTTAACATATTTCTTCTTTTGATTTCTATAAGAGTGAAATGAACTCATATGTTTACCTTTTGGTTATTGAATTTGAGCGAGAAACCACCACCAGTAGATGATGCCTTCTTGTTTGAAGATCCTGCTAGTAGTTGCATATTACTGATAACCTTCATGTCATCAGGTGATAGTTTTGCCAACTGATTAGATAAACAAAACCATATTTGTAACGACTCTGCTTAGGCTGAGCTTAAAAAGATCACATTTCTACTTCACAATTCTATAATGCTTGCTAGTGGTAAATTATTTTTTCTAGAGTTGTAAAGTTTAATATTGCATTAGTTGATAGATGCTGAGTTTCTTGTAAAATTAGATTGGATCTCAGAAATCAAATATATTGAATGTAATAAGGAGCCTTTTTCGTGCTCTGTCTTGGACACCTTATCCAGGTTTCAGTCAGAGTTAGGTAGTCACACAAGTTGGATTCAGTCAATTTACCCTAACCTTCTTTAAAAAATATAAATTGATCAGAGTATTGAATATCTTGTTTTACAAATTTTGGCGTTACAAAATGCAGGAATACTAGGCATATTTGCAGATTACATTCATAGGTGCAGGAGTTAGTAATTACCTGCATTAGCTTTGAAGCTTTATCACCCTCAAACTTTTCAGGATAGACAGAGGCATAAATCATCAACAAACGCAACTTATATTCAGGAGTCGTACTCTGCATGGGCTCAAAAATTAATGAAGTGTGCATTTTGTATTGAAAAGCAAATGATATTGACCTTTCAGATACATGTCAGTACAAAACCTGTTTTGTTCTTAAAAAGTTAATAACTTCCTTGGCTCCGGCATCCCCGAAAACAAGATCTTGTTCCAACTGTCCAAGCTCTCGAAGATCTGTTTCTCTTATAATTTTGTTGATCTTTCCAGCTATCTGCTTTGAATCAAGCAGAACGGTTAGCATAAATAACACTCTGTTTGCTGTGATCCTTATCAACATGAGTTTAAAAATATGTTGCTTGTGTCCCCTTACATTCCATTGCCATTATTATTAAGTTGCAACGTACTATTCCTATACAACTAGAAACAGTAATAAAAACAATAAAAGTAGGATTAAATCACCTCTACATGGAGTGAAATCTTTTCGACTTGCTCAGTGTATTGGGGCAAAGCTTGAACCATTTTTTGCAAATCTCGTGTAGATATTTCACTACCATCTCTGCATAGAATCAAATTTATAGGTTATAACTTCATGGCACTAAAACATTTGCCTGATCCCATTAATTTTCGGCAAATGTTAACCAATTAATACCTTAAAGGTGCTGATTAATAAATTAAAGGTAGAAAGTTTGTATTAAAAGATGTTATTAATGTGCCTTCTCTCTTGGTTTCTGATAACTATTAACATAATTTTTAGTAAAAATATTTTACTTTTGATTTATTAATCGTCTTAAAGGTATTACAAATTATAGCTTGCTTAATTGTTCTAGCAGCCATGTTAATTCTATCCCTTTCTTGGCCTTTTCTCTCCCATATCAAGTTGCCTTGATTTGAACATTTCCACTCAACACGCATGCAGCTACAGGCAATTCAAACTTTTGAGTTTTTTTTATCATTTCTCTCCCATTACTGTTTGTAACTTCGATAGGACATATCTAGAAAATAATTAAGAGGTAAAAAAAATAAAATTCGATATACATATTATATTGAATATGAATAAATTATAAATTTATAACTTTTATAAAAAATATTATACATATATATTTTTAAAATATTGAGGAAGGGTTGTTCTTTTATTAACATTTCTTTTCCTTCGTCATGGGCTAGTAACTAAGGTAAATCTGCAAGCTTTTTAGGTCTAGTGATAGAATCTCAATTGATCTAGCTGAGATCCTGATCTTAGTCACAACTGATGACCCATCCTCGTCCATAAAAGAGTTAAGAGTAGAGAGTTAGGTGATTCAGTTGATATGGGTTGGTCCTTGTGTCAAACCCAATCCTTCTTTGGCTTTCGCTTCCGCTTCATCCATCCGTCTCTCTGCCCACCATTTTACTTCTCATGAGGAGACTTTTCCCCTTGTCTTCTTAACTACAGTTAGTTTTTTTGGTTAGTTATTAGTTAATCTTCCTATAACTGATTTCTATTAATTTTTTTTACATCATCTTGTATATATACCATTGTACCCTTCAATAATAAGATAAGAAAGCCATTGTTGATCATTCATACACATTGAGTTCCTTCTCTATTTTACGTTGCTCCTTATGGAATTGCACACTTTGTTATGGTATGAGCTCTTCAAATGAAGAGCTCTGTTGCATACTCATCATTCTTTGTTTTTCTTTTCTGTATTTTTGTCATTATGAGTGAACAATCGGAACACACACCTAGGGTTCATAGTTATCTCTATCTTTATCCGATTGAAAGTCTTGCAACCGCCCCTTATCGCCATTGCTAGATTCAACTACCTATCATTCATAGAGTTGATCGATGTTAACTGCTCTTAGTGCTAAGAACAAAGTTGAATTTGTGGATGGAAGTGCACTACAGCCGTCAAAGTCTGATTTGACTTACACTGCATGGCGTCACTGCAACAATATGGTAGTTTCATGACTTGTTCATTCAGTTTCTCTCTCAATTCGTCACAGTATCCTTTGGATGGAAAAAGGCGATGGCATATGGAAGGATTTGAAATCACGTTACTCACAAGGAGATCTCCTCTGCATATCAGATTTACAATTTGAAACTTCCTCGATGAAACAAGGTGATCCCTATGTGACTGATTCTTTTTACTAAACTATGTTTTGTTTGGGATGAGCAAGAAAATTTCAGGCCCGATCCAACTTGTACTTGCACTACAAAATGTTCATGTAGTGTTCTTTCTTTTATTGCTCAACGCAAATTGGAGGATCGAACGATGCAATTCTTGCGTGGATTAAATGATCAATATAGCAATGTTTGTTCTCATGTTTTACTCATGGATCCTTTGACTCACTTTCTAAGATTTTTTCATATGCAGCACAAGAAGAATGTCAGCTTTTTGGAAACAATTTCAAACAAAATCATCATTAACACAACTAGTTCTTTGTCTACATGCACTTATTGTTGATGTGCTGGTCACAATGAAAGTGTTTATTATTGCAAACATTGGTTTCCTTCAAATAATGATGCTAAGAATAAAGGAGTGTTCAATTGCAGTGGGAAAATATGCGTTCATTGTAGGAAAAATGGGCACACAATAGATGTTTGTTATCGCAAACACGGTTTTCTGTTGGGACACAAGTTTCACACCACTAAGAATGCAATTGTGAACAATACTATGACTGGTGATAGCAGAGTCACTAAAAATGATCAACAACAGGTTCATGAGTACCAAGATCTTTGCTTCTCTCCTCAGCAGTTTCAAGTCCTGCTAGCTTTAATACAACAACCAAATAGTGGAACTTCAACATTGAACACGTCCCATGTCAATCAAATTGGTTCAATTTTGTCTTCTACTTTAGATTCATGCTAGTCTATTGCTTGTTCTGCTATTACACCGCTTATGGCTATATGGATCTTAGATTCTGGAGCTATTGATCATGTATCTTCTTCGTTAACAAATTTTTCATCATACATAACTATTGATTCCCATTGTAGTTAAAATGCCCACTAGTCAACATGTTATGGCTACCCATTCTGGAGTGGTCAAATTCACTAAGTCCTTTTATTTGGTTGATGTGCTTTACATTCCTAGTTTTACCTTCAACCTTATTTCTATTTCTAAATTAGTTTCTTCCTTCAAATGTGAACTGATTTTTTCTCCTCATTCATGCATCATACAGGACATGAACAACAGGCAGAAGATTGGTATAGTTGATGCAAATGGTGGTCTTTATCAACTTGGTCTCAATCCTATTGTTTCACATTCCGTGCATTCTAGTATTGTTCATTGTCAATGTAATAAGCTACCTATTGATTTGTGGCACTTTCATATGAGTCACATTTCTCATGAACGTATGCAGTCCATGAAACAATATTATCCTTATTTGTTCAATGATAAGACGTTTGCTTGTAACACATGTCATCATGCTAAACAAAGAAAACTTCATTTTACTTTAAGTCATTCTTATGCATCCCAACCTTTTGAACTATTACATATGGACATCTGGGGACTATGTTCGAAAACTTCTATCCATGGACACAAATATTTCTTAACTATTGTGGATGATCACACGCGTTTCACTTGAATTTTTCTCATGCTTTCATAAGCTGAAATTCATACTCACATAATCAATTTCATTACTCAAATAGAGAATCAGATTTATAAACATGTTAAGATCATTCACATTGATAATGGTACTAAATTTTTCATAGATCAATATTTTTTGTCCAAAGGCATCATACATCAAACTATTTGCATTCAAACTCCTTAATGAAACTGTATTGTTGAATGCAAACACCAGCACCTTTTGAATGTTACTCACATGTTACTTTTTCAGTCTAACTTACCCCCAAATTTTTGGTGTTTTGCTCTTTTTTACATGTTGCATATATCATAAACTGCATTCTTACTCTGTTTTTGCATAATATTTCTCCTTTTGAAAAATTGTATAACCACCCATGTGATATTTCTAATCTTCACATTTAACTGCTCATTGCAAAAATTTAGACCCTCATGCTCATCCTTCTATTTTTCTTGGTTTCAAACCACACACAAAAGGGTATCTAGGCTATAACATGCATTTTCGGACTCTTGAAGTTTCTCGTAATATCCTATTTTACAAAGATCATTTTTCTTACTTTCATGACCAATGCCCTCCGTCTTCTTCAAATTCTTCATTACCCATTCCTACATCTTTTACAATTGATTGCATTTTAGACAACTCCACCTCTCCTTATATTACAGTGCCCACGGAGTCTTCTTTTTCTGATAATCATCTCTCTCTCCACCTTGCCCCTACACTTGCTCCTACTGCCCCTCCTCTTTGTCAGTCAATCCATTTTCGTCAACTTCCAACCTATCTCATGGATTTTCACAGTACATTAACTGGCACCACTTCCTCCAAAGGTATTTGTTATTCTCTTGAACATTTTCTTTCTTATAAACATCTTTCTCCATCTTTTCACAAATATATTATGTCTATTTCGTCTACCTCTGAACCTAAGTCATATGCTAAGGCTTTTAAGATTGATTGTTGACTTAAAGCCATGCATGACGAGATCACTGCACTTAAACCAAACAATACTTGGTCTCTCACTTGATCTTCATCCTCACAAAACTGCAATTGGGTGTCGTTGGATCTACAAGGTCAAACATAATCCATATGGTATCATTAAGCGTTACAAAGCTTGCCTTGTTGCCAAGGGTTACACTCAAATGGAGGGCCTTGATTTCCTTGACACATTTTTTCCTGTGGCCAAACTCACCACTGTTTGTCTTCTTCTTGCCCTTGCTGCCATTCATAATTGGCACCTCAAACAACTTGACATGAACAATGCTTTCCTACATGGTGATATTCATGAAGTTCTTCACATGCAACTTCTTGCAGGATTGACTACTCCCAAGCCAGGATAGGTGAGTCATTTACAACATTCCATCTACGATCTCAAACAAGCCAATCGTTAATGGTATGCTTGACTTTTCTCTTTTTTATTATCTCATGGATATAAGCAGTCTTCTTCTGATCACTCTCTCTTTCTCAAGTTCTTGACAACCACAGTCACGACCCTTCTTGTTTACGTCGATGAAATTATTCTCGTTGGTAATAATATTGATAAAATTACTCATATCACTTTGCTTCTTGATCAAATTTTTAAGATCAAGGATCTTGGTGACTTGAAGTTTTTCCATGGGCTCGAAGTTGCTCATAATGCATCAGGTATTCATTTATACCAATGTAAGTATGCTCTTGACATGCTTGCTTCTCACCCTACTTTCACTCCAATGGATTATTGCATGTGTCTCCATGTTTCTTTTGGTACACCCCTCACGGATCCATCTGCTTATAAACGTTTAATAAGTCACCTCATCTATCTCACTGCTACTCGTCCAGACATCACATATGTGGTTCAACATTTCAGTCAGTTTGTTTCACACCCGACATTTGCTCATTATCAAGCAACGTTTTGTGTTCTTCGTTACTTAAAAAATGCCCCTAGTTCTGGCATCTTCTTGGCTGCTAACAGCGTTAGCCAACTTAAAGCCTTCGCAAGGATCAAAATTATGCTCAACATTAATCAACCACCAATAAGCCTTCTCTCAATCAAAATGATGGAATTATCAGGCTCAAGGTTGGAGCTTTAATACCAACCGATATAACTGGGCTAAAAACGACGAAATGATAGTTTTTAATGCAAAAACTACCACAGCGCAATACAGAATCAAGGTCAAGGATGCTACAATGAAGTTCTCTCTCTAATTTTCAAGTATATCGAGAGACTTAGTGCTCTCCCCGAATCGCTCTTCCAAGTCTAAAACCTAACTTCTATTATTTTTTTCCTCCTATTCTTTATATACACCGCAAACTATTCTAGTTAAAAAACTATAGATACAATTCTCCACTTATTCTGTTCTACCTAATTGCTGACATTTGGACCCATTATCTAACGCAATTCTAACCTTGTATTGTTGACTTATACGTTGAAGTATCAATCTCAGGAACTTTTTTGCGACATTCACATTTACCTATATTAATAACAGGACATTTATACTTTCATTAAACAGCTTGGACCAAAAAAAATATATAAAAAATAACAGCATATTCCGGATTTAGGATATTTTATTTTCTTATTATTATATAATCATAACAATCAAATCTTTTACTTAAAACTATAAGGTTTAAGGAATAAAATTTGGTTCGATGAGAATGGAGAGATGTTTTAATTTTTTAACTTATTTTAATAATTTTTTTTATAATTAAATTTATATAATACATTATTATTTCAAAAAATTATTAAATAACTGCTTAATCACCTATCCAAACGCACCCTTTATTATGAGATTTTTTTTTATGTCACATTCCTTCCATTAACATGTATGAGTATAATAATATATTAGTTATATTTTCCCTCTCTTTTCCTTAAAAAGCAAACAAGGAGAACCCCTTCGGTACCTCTAATCCCCTTCCATTCTTTTCGACGTAATTAAATTAGGAACTTTTCTCTCTTATACATTAAAATCTCTCATCTTCCTTTCTTTTCTTTCAGTTAAATGTTTCATGAGTTATTTGAAGTAGCTTGTTTTGTGTTCAAATTTAAACAAATATAGTAAAAAAATTATAAGAGAACTTTTGTAAAAGAAAAATAATTATTTCCCCGGAAGAGAGGTTGTCTAATCATATTATATTTTCAAAATGAATCATGATAATTTAATAACAGATAAGACCTAATGAGGAAGTATTTCATCAATATATAGTTTTCCATTGTGTATCAAAGAGCTGTATGTAAGGATGGAAATAAGTCAAATTGTTCATAGAGATTTATGATATAACTTTTTTGAAGTTTATTTAACTTGACCTATTTCAGTAACTAGCTTAATGCAAGCTTTTTAAAAGACTTAATTGATTAAATAGACTAACTTATTTAAAATTAAAAAATTTATAATAATATATTAAATAATTAATTAAATATGTCAAGTTTGTATATTTTATATTTTTATTTGTTGCATTTGCTAATTTTTAGTCTAAAACTTATTTAGTTGTAGTAGTTTGATTTAAAGTGTGAAACTTTACGTTACTAGATTTACTTAGAATTTATAGATTGATGTTCATTTTATTGTATTAATTGTATGTGTAGTGATTTACTTATTTAAATCAAATATGTAGTTTAAAAGTGATAAATAAGAATATATAATTTTATTACACATATTTAAGATGTTGAACTATTTTTTTTTATAACTTATTTAAATATAAGTCCTATGCCTTTTATAAAGATATACTTATTTAGATAGTTTAATAACTTATTAAATATCTCAATGTTATTAAAAAGTCTAATAAGCTAAAATATACTTTTAAAAAAGGCAGACCAATCTTAATAAAAAGTATGACACATAATAGATGCTTATGCTTTAAAATTATAAAATAAGTTAGATCTATTTATGCAAATCTTACCATAGTCTATTTTCATCAATAGCTCTAAGAAGTTAAAAATAGATTTTTTTATTAAAAATAAAAATATTTATTATTTAAAATTCATAAAAAATGTTATACTCACTCTTTATGGAATTTAAAGCATCTAATGAGGCATATTAACGCGTGTATTAAAAAAACTGTTTCATGTAATGACGACTATTTTTCATAAAGTAAGGAGAAAGGTGCCAATGCGAACCTTCCACTTTGTTGAATTTGTGCTGCTTTGTTCTTTGATACGAAATTGGTAAACTTTTCATGCAGTCTTTCACTAGCCTGGTGTTTTAGTAAGAAGAGCATTGAGGTTTCATTTTAAATATATGAAATTTGAACTGATTAGAGAGGGAATGAGACGTACATCTGCTATATGTGCATGGCGAAGTTCAAGCCAGACTGAATCATTCTCTTCTAGAATGACCTCTTTTGTCTCAGGTTGACCCCCGGTTTTGCTGGGAACCTGAAATGATTTCTAATCAGAAACAACAAAATGCTAAAAATTGCATACAAGATGAAGGGGAGGCTTGATTATCAAGAAATCATACCTCTTGCGTATATTTATTTCCATCCATATTCAACAAATCATGGCACATAGCATCATAGGTCCATTCATGAATGACAGGAGCAATCTGAGATTGATTCAAAACAGTTATCAAAAGGTGAGATATAAAAGGAAAGATTCATAGTGAAGAGATATATTTTTAACCTGATCAATGGACCTATCGACAATGAGCAGGTCACAAGTTTCATTTTGTGGAAAACTGGGAATAGTAGATTTATATTTTGATACCATGTCCCAAACAGCACAAGCAAGCTTGGTAGGAACTAGTTCACGAGTTGCTGTTGGAGTAGACTCATCACTTCCTTTTGCAGCACGATACCATACATACGGTAACTCCTAATAATATAGAAACATATTGATATACTCATTCAGAAGATGTCAAATATTATAAATTCGTACTTTATGTATTACAAAATGATACAAATTTTTAAAATAGTCTAGAAAATTATTAGAAACAATTTAGAAAAAATTATTTCTATATTATAATTTTAAGATAATTTTAGAGAGAGTTTTAGAATATTGTCAATATTAAAATATTTAACCACTCGAATACAATGGTAGAAGATGCCTATAAATAAGCATGCTATCTCATTGTAAAAATCAAGAAGTAGATAAACTATCAATTCTCTATCTCTTGAGTGTCTTACTCAAGCTTCTTTACCTATCATTTTTAACTATTCTAACTAATATATTTTAACTATTTTACTCTTCTTACCTACACAAAAAATCGTCAGTGGCATTAAAGCTACATTCTATTACCTTACTATTCTAAAATTAAAATAAACGACTTCCAAAATTTTTTCAACTCATGGCTAACACTACTCAACTATGATTTGTGTCACCATTTTTAATGGTGAAAATTATGATTTTTAGAACACAAAAATGAAGACATATTTTACCTTCTAAGATTTGTGGCATGTTGTGGAAGAAGAATTCATTACTCCAACAAACATATCATTCCTTACTGTAGCTCAAAGAAAAGAATTGAAGGAAAAAAAATAAAAGGATTTGAAGGCCTTGTTTAATCTACAACAAGCTGTGACTGATGCAATTTTTCCAAGAATAATGGGTGCTACAACAGACAAAGAAGCATGTAGTATGTTACAGGAGGAGTTTGAAGGAAGCAAAAATGTACGCATTGTAAAATTTCAAACTTTATAGTGAGAGTTTGAATGACTAAAAATGAAAGAGTCTGAGATCGTAAAGGATTACTATTCCAAAATAAAAGAAATAGTTAATCAAATGAGAGTTTACGGAAAAATATTCTTGACAAAAAAGTTGTTAAAAAATTAATCATAGTTTTCCGTAAATATGATCCAATTTTGACCACTATTGAACAAACAAAGGATCTATCTATTCTATGAGTGACAGAGTTGGTAGGGTCCCTTAAAGCTTATGAGCAAAGGTTGAAAAGGCATGATGAGAGCTCAATTGAAAATGCCTTTCAATCAAAGCTCAAATTATGGTCTTAGAATAAAGGGAATGAAGGAAGAAAGAATAATGAAGAAACTTTTAGAAACAAAAAAAATTCTAGAAATTTCTCTATAAACAATTAAGATAAATATCTTCCATGCAGCATTTGTAAGAGGACAAATTATGCTCAAGAAGAATGTTGGTATATTGAAAAACCACAATATCAACATTGCAAGAAATTTGGACATGTGAAAAAATATTATCATAACAAAAGTATCAAGCAAATTTTGTTAAAGAGTATGATCGAGAACCATATCTTTTCTATGCTACCTAAGTTTCCAGCACTAAAACGAGCAAAAATTGGTACTTAGATAGTAGTTGTAGCAATCACATGGCCAAAGATATAAACATATTCAAGAATATCGATGAATCCATTAAAGTGAAAGTTCGAATGAGAAACGGTACTATCACTGAGTCAAAAGGCAAAGGCACTGTTATGGTGGAGACAAAGAAATGTACGAAACTTATTATTAATGTCTTGCTAGTTCCCAACCTCAAGGAAAATCTCTTGAGTGTTGGTCAAATGATGGAGAAAGGTTATTCTCTTCACTTCAAAGGGGACACATGTAAGATATATGACAATAAAAAGCAAGAGATTGGTCAAGTAAAAATGAAGAAAAGGAACAAAAGTTTTTCAATAAGCTTTTAATAAGAAGATTGCCATGAAAACAAAAGTTGATACTTCATGCCATGAAAACAAAAGTTGATACTTCACGACTTTGACATCGAAGATTTGGTCACTTCTATACTTATGCCTTATAACTGTTATATCAAAAAAATATGATGAAGGATCTCCCATGTCTTGAAGAAAATAATGAAGCTTGTGAAGGATGTCTCCTTCGCAAGCAATATTGACTATTTTTCTCTACTGGGAAAGCTTGGAGAGCAAAAGACTTATTGGAGTTTGTTCATACAGATATTTGTGAATCAATGCGGACACCGTCACTTAATAATAACAAGTATTTTATCCTTTTCATTGATTATTCTTCTAGAATGAATTAGGTCTACTTCATCAAAACAAAATTAGAAGTCTTTGAAATATTCATGAAGTTTAAGGCCCTTGTCAAAAAGTAAAGTGATAAATAGATAAAAATATTAAGAAGTGATCATGCCAAAAAGTATACCTCTCATGAGTTTGTAAATTCTATGAGAATGAAGTCATTTAGCGACAACTTATCATCCCATATACTCCACAACAAAATGGACTAACTGAAAGAAAAAACTGCATAGTAATGGAGATGGCTAGATCAATGTTGAAGGAGAAAGAATTACCAAATACTTTTTGGGCTGAAGCAATTTATACTGCTGTCTATATACTTAATAGATGCCCAACTAAAGCTGTCCAAGATAAAACTCCAATTGAAGCATGGAGCGGGCAAAAGCCATCAGCAAAACACCGAAGGGTTTTTGGATCGATTTACTATATACACATTCCAAAAGAGAAGAGATATAAATTATAAGATAAAACTGTACGATTTATTTTCTTGGGGTATGACACACAATCTAAAGGATATCGAGTCTATAACTTGCAAACCAAAAAGCTCACTATTAGTTGAGATGTTGAAGTTGATGAAATTGCTACTTGGAATTAGAAAGATGAAAAGGTTAAGAAAAATGTTTACATATCAACGCAGCAACCTCCAGAAATTTAAGAAGTCTCAGGTAAGAGTTTTACAACCCCACAACAACAAAATTCCTCACTAGAGTCTACTCCAAAACGGGTTAGATCTTTGGTGGATATATACAAAACTTGTAGCTTGGTCATAATTGAATCTGAAAGCTTTGAAGCAATATCAAAACAAGAAATATGGGTCAAGGCAATAGAAGAAGAGACAAAGGTATTGAGAAAAATAACACATGAGAGCTAGTAGCTTGCCCTGCAGATAAAGATATCATTGGGGGTAAAATGTGTTTATCTTGATGGCACAATACATAAGTACAAGGCAAAGCTAGTAGCTAAAGGATACTCACAACAACTTGGAGTTGATTACAATGAGACATTTGCTCCAGTTGCTCGTCTGGATACTATAAGAACTCTAATTGCTCTTGTTACACAAAAAGGATGAAACATTTATCAACTCAATGTAAAATCTATCTTTCTCAATGACATTCCTCAAAAAGAGATTTATGTGGAGCAACCACAAGGTTTTATCAACAAAGGTAATGATGGCAAAGTACTAAGGCTTAAAAAGCCCCTATATGGATTGAAACAAGCTCCACGAGCATGGAACAGCAAAATCAATCGATACTTTATGGATCAAGGATTTAGAAGAAGCAGAAGTGAGCCAACTTTATACACCAAATTTCAAGGTCATTATGACATACTCATAGTCTCCTTATATGTAGATGATCTTATCTGCATAGGGAATAATGTGGAGATGATAGCTAAGTTCAAAGAAGATATGATAAAGACCTTTGAAATGACCAACCTTGACTTGGTGAACTACTTCCTTAGAATAGAGGTAAAGCTAAAAAAAAAGAATATTTATTTCACAAAAGAAATATGTTGTTGCGCTACTCAAGAAATTTAAATAGTTGTAAGACTATTGGCACTTCACTAGTGACAAATGAGAAAATAGAAGAAAAATGGAGCACCAAAAGCTAATGCATCATGTTATAGAAGTTTAATTGGAAGCTTATTACTATATCTCATAGCCACATGACCAAACATAATGTATATGTAAGTCTTTTTTCAAGATTCATGCAAAGTCCAAGCCAAATTCATTTTGGAATAGCAAAAAAAATCTTAAGATATCTACAAGGCACAAAGGAGTATGGTATATGGTACCAAACTATGAGCAACTTCAAAATTACTTGGCTACACCAACAGTGATTGGGCAAGATCGATCAACGACATGAAGAGCACGTCTGATTATGCCTTTTCACTAGGATCAAGAACAATCTCGTGGATTTTGAAGAAGCAAGCAATAGTTGCACAATTAACAATAGAAGCAAAATATGTGACAACTGTTGAGACTACAAGTCAAGCAATATGGTTACGAAGAATACTTGAAGAAACAGGAGAAAAACAAAACAAGCCTACTACAATCTACTGCGACAACAAATCAACTATAGTAATGACAAAATATCCCGTGCATCATAGCAGAACAAAACACATAGCAATCATCATCAGGGAAGCAGAAGGAACTAAAGAAATCAAGTTTGAGTAATGCAGAACTGAAGATCAAGCTGTAAACATTTTTACTAAAACATTACCAAGACCAAAATTTGAATAGTTACGCACGATACTTGGAGTTACAAAAATTTGCATCAAGGAGGAGTACTAGAAAATAATATAAATTTCTAGAATAGTCTAGAAAATTATTAGGAATAATCTATAAAAAATCATTTCTATATTCTAGTTTCAAGATAATTCTAGAGAGAGTTCTAGAATATTGTCAATATTAAAATATTTAAACACCCAAATACAATGGTAGATGATGCCCATAAATAGGCATGCTATCACATCGTAAAGACCAAGAAGAAGTAAGCAAATTATCAATTCTCCATATCTTGAATATCTTACTAAAACTTGTTCAACTATCATTTTTAACTATTCTAACTAATATATTTCAACTATCTTACTCATCTCATATACACAAAAAATCATCTGTATGAACTACACCGAATAGTCGACTTATTCCTTCATAAATGAATAAAAAATTGTGATCACAGCTAATTTTTTTCACAATAATTTATGCATTAAATAAAACTAATGAAATAAGAATTATATAATAATTTCTGTAAATATATCAATTTGCAGTATTAGACACTAATGTAGCGATTGGTAGATGACAGAACGGGACAAAAAAAAAGTTATATTTCATGTTTGGCACAATATAGAAAAGAACATAATAGTAAACGGGATGATAACCATTTGATTTACCAGATTTGTCTCAGACTTAGTGAAGATAAAAAATTTAAGATATTAGCTACAATAGAGAAGAAAGGGGATTATAGGAGAGTCAAGTATAGCTTGTATAAGTAGATTTTGAAAAACATTCAGTAGAGATTGACACAATGTTCATACGTCTTGATCAACTATAACATGCTTAAAAGAAGAAGAAAAGTCACGACTTAAACAATAAGTACCTATAACCATCTTATTGTCTCTCATTACAGTGAGTGACAGAAGTAGTCCGTTAAAACTTTGATCTAGGTTAATTACAATATAAAATGTGAGGTTTGAAAGTAATACCTTCATTGAAGCAAAAACTGTAGCTATTCGAATTGCCATGGTATTCAAGCAGGTATTAAATCTGCGAGTATTCTCAACATTTCCATAAAGTTCTCCCATTGCTGTTTCTTGATCAGTGGTAAACGCCTGCATTATATAGATCTCAATAAAAAAGAAAAATCAATTTCTCCCTCATTCAGAACATTTTGTAAATAGGTCAAGGTGATTCTTCGCTTAAAATTAAATAAAATAATGTTGGACACTTGAAAAGGTCAAGGTGATTTTTATTAAGTTGTTCCCAGTATTTATACATTGCGCATGTCATGTAAATCACGACTTTGAATTCATTACAATCCCAAGTTCCATAAGATCATTGCTAAATTCAGCCGTCGCAAGCTAAAAAGAAATAAAACCTTGGGATCATATGATAAAACCATGTTAACAGGACTTCCTCATATAAATCAGTAAATTTATTGGATAACTTATTTTTACACCTTAGACAGTACAGTGAACATTTATATAAGGATTTATGATACGCCAAGATCGTGTATAGCAGTTTAGGTCGGTTAATTGACTAAACTATTAATCAATAAGGCAAATAGTTCAACAATATTGTGTGTGGGTGAAACACATTGACATACACTTTCAACTTGAAATAGTTTACATCATTGCATACCTGACCATCTATTGGAAAGTATTCCAAATTCATCTACAAAATAGAACCAGCCCTAGTTTCAGTCCAAAACAGTTTGATGATGACTACTTGCTGATAAATACTAGATAAGAATGGACAACAACATCCTGACCTCTCTCAATGCACCTATACGAGGTAAGACACTAGTGTCACTCTTGATGTGGTTTACAAGTTCCTTTGGGATCGGTGAACTGAAAAATACATAGGCTCTGAAACATTGTATAGGAACAAAGGATACACAGCCCCGCCCCCAATAGAAAAAGGGAAAAAAAGAAGAAGAGACAATCAGTTTTGTCTTGGATTAAGCTTATAAAAGATGAAACGACATTAAAATTTGGGAAAAACCAGAATTCTTCACATACTTCCTGTAAAGAGGCTCCCTTCCAGACATATCAGAGAGGAACATGACCACACTGCATGCTAGCAAAAGATATGCTTAATATGGATAAAATATGCAAGTGAAAACAAAATAAATAACATAGCAGAAAAGACAGTTCAAAATAATGCATGGAAGAGAAGACAGTTGAATGAGTAAAAATGGGATTGGAAAAAGGTTTAGAGAAATAATTAACCCTGAAATAGAATTTGAGATAAACAAAACACACAAAATTGTGGACTTGTACTGCCAATAGATAGGAAAGAATAGAAATCTAGATTTTTTTTTTGTTTGGAGTAGACATCATAATTACTTTAAATTTAAGTCTCAACTCTGGTATACTATCCTCACTTTTACCGTAGTGTAGAGAAAAACACTTCCATTGCTAATTGAATGATAGGGAGCAGTTCAATATTGGATAATATAATGCACTTATACATAAAGGGATAACTGTATAATTTAAGGCAGGAAACACGGAGAAGCATGCTATTTACTGGATTTTTTTGGGTCTCTTAGTTGACATCTTGCATTATACAAGTTTCGGTACTCATGGTAATGGTTGTCCTTCAATAGAATTACTTTTTTGAGTCTCTGCAAATACATTGTACACCCCAAATCTTTGTACGTGTGTGCACATGATAATTTACTAATTCATAAATCATTTTAGAGCCAGCATTAGAACTTCAGGAAATTTTCTATGACTTGTGTAGATACACAAGAAAATTTTGAGTAATTTGCAACCAGAAAATCTTTCTGTGTCAATGGTTCACTAAACTTAGGTTAAGGCTCCTACTAAGAAGAATCAGCTATTAGGTTACCTAGTTATTTCTTTTGAATTTTCTTTAATTGCTCTCTCTTTTATTCTTTCCCGGCCCACCCATTACAGATATCTATCATTGAATTAAGAAATACCTATAGCGTACCCTCAATCAATAATATCATGCAGCATCCAAACACAATTCATACAAAATAATTTCCTGATAACAAATAATCGAAAGTAAATCCTGAGAATTTTCCATCACGATACAGCTTGAAGCATTTTCTTCCATGATAATTAAACATGTTGTATCGAAAAAGCATATACATCTGATATATTGTGATTGAAATTGGCGATAAGAAAGAAGCAAACAAATAGAATATCTATACATACTCGTGTGGCTGCTGTGAAGCAAATATTAGCAAAATTTTAGTCTGTGTTTTAAATAACACTAAGGAAGTTAAAAAATGGTGCCATAACTTATGGAAATCCCAGTAAATGTTGTGTTATAATAGGAGACTTTTCCTTGAATAAGAAAACGATTATTTAGTTTTTACATAATTTTTTTTATCTATTGGCAAACAAAATGGAAATTTCTAATTAAGAAACAAAGTTACTTCTCTTTAGAAGGCTGGATGTAATAAACAACATCCATAGATGGTAATGGTTGCCTTCTCCGGAAAAGGTCTTCCACCACTGTAATGAGAAATCAACATGTTATATCAATGTTTCAACAGGGCAACCACATAACAGATGTTGCAGTAAAGTTAGTTGAATAATACAAGGAGAGAACATGCGACACTGAACAGAAAACGTCTAATTTAAAGCACAATATTCAGCTCAAAATGAGCTTGACAAATACTCATTTGGGACATGATAATATGGCTTAATGAATGAGACATTGTTGCAAATGATTTTATTTTTCAGACAAAATTTAGATAAAATTCCTTATCATCAAGTTCTCCTATCATTTAACGATAAGTTACATGTGGGCTTTGGTACTAATAAACTATTAAATGTGTTAATGTGTCATAATTTAATTAGAGAACTTAATACTAAGAATATAAGGAATTTGCAAAGTTCTATCTTTATTTTTCTCCAGTCATTTAAAATAGCATGCATACTGAGAAGCACTCCAAATCTTATCGTTTGATTTCTCAAAATTCTTGGAAGCAGAGAGTGTCATTGGCATCAATAATCACTTCGTGAGTATTTGACCATTTTATGATAACGAGAAGTGTTCCTTCTATCATAGCAGGAACTTGTGTTAACGTGATTTTAAGTATGTTCAAACACGATTCTAAATATGCTATAAATGGGTTCTTGAATAAGAAATGCAGAATAAGCGATAAACTCCGGAAAGCCATATCCTTTTGTAGGGTTCTTACAGGAAACTTCTTGGTCTGTAATATCTGCCATTTTGCACGAATGTGACATAACTTTCACAGTGACTTTATCCATTATGAGTACCTATTAGAGTAACAAAAAAATGACCAACATCAACTGTCAACTTTAATTAACAAAAGATGACATGCGAAGATATAAACACGTAGAAGTATAAAATCTTCATATCAAAATCTATAGACACACCTTCCATGCTTTCGAATCAGGTGACCTTGCCGATTTAAGCATTTCATATAATAAGCCTGTCAGCATCCAACCATTAAAATGATTACGAAACAAGTCACGAGTGGAGCCAATACATGTGCAGTGCTTAATTAAAATTTGTTTTACTAAAAAAATAAGTTATGAAAATTCATATTTCTTTTCACACAATTCCATCAGAGAAACCCATAAATTCATTCATTTTCTAGTAGATTGGACGCACCAAAGTTTTAAAAAAAATCACAAACATGACATATTTGTTTAGCTTAAAAATTTCTAAACCAAATGAAAATGCAGATGTAGAACTTGGAACGGATGTTTTGGCATTGAGCTCTATTTAACAGAGAGAAAATTAAGTTTCAAAGGCAGGGTTCTGAACCAAAATTTCTCGAGAAACAAACGGAAAAGGAGGGAAAAGAGAAATGCGAAGGTGAAGGAAATAGATCTCACGATCACGACTGATTTGGCGGAAGGGCTTGTACTCGGACGAACCGCCATGGGATGTTTCAGAATCCGATAACGACATTGTTGCTTGCAGCAACTGGTCGTGATTGGAGTTCTAAACGCAGATTTGAAAATCGAGAATGGTGGAGAGAGAGAGAGAGAGAGAGGGAGAGAGAGAGAGGGAAAGAGAGAGAAAGTCGTTGGGAAGGGAAGAATGAGCCTGTGAGAAAGTTCGTTATATGTGTGGGGGAACGTAGGACGTGTGATTTGGAACTCAAGTTTCGGTTACGCTTTGTGCTCTCAAATCTCCATCGATGTCAAGCCAAATGCGTCTTCATGCCGGCTTCAAACGCTGTCGTTTTGTTCTAGATTTTGCGACTCGTCCCTTGTAACAATTTAAGATCACCCTGACACGAGTCTTACAGGATGTGAATTGCGCCACCACATTCATTAACATCATATCAATTGAAATTTGGTGAAAATTATAAAAATATGAATGAGATCGTTAAATTTTGTTTTACTAAATTTTTGTTAAGAATAAAAAGTACCTTCGAGAAAGTGCATTCAAGAATACATTATTAGCGAAAAATAATAGATTACCAAACACAAATTAACATGTATTTATTATATAGAGAGATAATTTAAAATATAAATAATTTATATGACTCTTATTAAAAACTAAGTTATATTTTTAATTTATTACAACAAATTTTACGGTAAGCTATTATAAATAACTGAACTTTCTTATTACACCAAGCAATCATATAATAAATATACAATCTCTATTTTATATGCTTGAAGTACCATCTGGTAATTATTTTAAAAACCAGATGGACTTATACCTTTTTATTTTTTTATTCTCTATATTTTAGTAATACTATATTATTTATTTTACTAAAAATATTCGGTTAATACTGAGTTTTATTTTAATTTTTATACTGTTTAATTTATTTTAATGAAATATTTAATCTTTAAAAATAATAAGAGTTCATAATTTACCAGAAACACCTAGAAGTATGATTACTTTAAAAAAATATTTTTCTGTAAGATAAAAGATGTATAAACACATATTTTTATATCAGTTCAAATTTATTAATTAATTTAATAATTAATTTTATTCAATAATTTTAATTTAATAAAATTTAAACATAGATAAGTTTTAAAATACAGCTGGAATATCATGATATGAGCTCAACAGCACTTATACAGTTTGTAAAGAAATCTATATCCAGTATTTAAAAGTTCTTCTAATAGTTTGTTACGAGATAATTTTTATATTAAATTTAATTTTAATTTTAATTATTTACTTTTATTAAATAGTTTATTTTAACCAAATATATATATATATATATATATATATATATATATTCAATAACAAAACAATAGACAAATACATTGATATTATATTCATTTAGTATTTTTATTTAAATATAATATTATCCTTACGACTCTTAAAAGAAATAATGAGAGTAAATGTGTTTAATTTAATGAAAATATTTAATTAAATTATTATTTTTTGGTATTTTTCATTAATAATTCTTTTTTAGTTTTTTAATACCTAACATTTTAACTAAATATGTTATTTAATATATATTAAATAATTTTTCATTTAACTTTTCGATAGAAGATGAATTATTTTATCAAAAAGAATTATAAAAAATTAAGAAAGTAACTGAAACTTATGTAGTAAAATTTGAATATTAGAAAGTAGTTAATCCAATAGTTACATCGAAACAAACTTGAAATTACTTAGTCATCAAAGTTTAAGGTGTCATTGCTAATATAATAGCTTTAACGATATAAATTAATCAAATAAATTAGAAATTAATAAGCATCTATATATAATTTATAAGTATTAATTATTGGATAATTTTTGTAAGGCCGATAACCCACAAGTAGAGTTGGTGATGAAAGTTCTTCAAGAATTCTCTGAGGTTTTTGAGCTAAATGTTAATACTACAAAGTCTTGAGCAATGTGTTATAAAGGAGTGTCTAGAGTCAAGAGAGATGTGTTCTATGAAATATCATCTATTCGATTTGCTTCGAACTTGGGTGTGTACTTGGGCTTTCCCTTGGTTTAAGGTCGTTTGAAAAAAGAGACATTTAACCTCCTGTTGGACAAAGTCAGAAAGCGGTTGGCCACTTGGAAGACAAGACTGTTGAAAAAGGCAAGGCGTTTATGCTTGACAAAATCAGTGATCACATCCTTACCAGAATACCCCATGCAGATTTGGCATCTCGCTAGTGGAATCTGTAATGGGTTGAATAAGAAAGACTACACAGAGATTTCTTTGGTCATCCAGAGGTCAAGCTTCAAAAGGGTTGCATTTAGTTAAGTGGAATATAGTTACTAAACCCAAATCTTGTGGGGGGTTTAGGGGTGCGGGTGGCAAGGAATATAAATATTTTGCAGCTTGGGAAATTAGTTTGGGACATAATTACTCACCCAGAAAAATTATGGGTTCAAGTGTTGACAAAGAAGTACTTAAGGGGAATATCTTTCTGGGATGCAAAAGCCAATAGTAATTGCTCCTCAATTTGGAGAAGTATACTGAAGGCTAACCGCACTCTAAGGGATGAGTTTTGATTTGTGCTTAGAAGTGACAATTTTTCTGTTTGGTTTCAAGATTGGATGAAAGTTGGAGCACTGCCCAATAAGGTGGATTTTGTCCATATTTCAAATAGTATGATGACAATGAAAGATTTGTGGGATAAAGTCAATTGGGACTTCATAAGAATGGCTATACCAATACCCGATTAAGTGCACCTCACCACATCAAATTTGTCAGGGCCTATAGGAAGTGAGAATAGTGATACGTGGACTTGGGCAAGTAACACGAACAAATCTTATATTGCTAACGGGGCTATACGTGGTGAAGACGACATCAGGGTATCGAACTTAATAGCAACAAATGGAAAACTCTTTAGAAGTTGCCAATTAAGAAGAAAAAGGTGAAGTACTTCCTGTGGTTGCTTCATTGGAAAGTTCTTCCAACTAATTATCTATGTTGGATTAGAGGTCTTGGTATAGAGGCTGGCTTATTGTATAGATGGTACTTTATTTGACCTATTGTATAGACGATCTTATCTTTTCCCCCCTTAACTAACACCTTAGAATAATGCTGGCTATTATGCAATGTATAATAATAATAATTAGTAATTTAAATAGGCAAAATTAGAATTTTTATCAAAGTTAAATTCAATTATGTCTTTTAACTTTATTTTGATTTATTTTAATTTTTAACATTTTAAAATATTTTAAATAAATCATTTTTTGTTAAAAATATTAACTTCATTAATATTTTTTAAGAACAAATGAACTTTTAATCCCTATACAATAACAAGGCATGCACCTTTTTATATTTAGCATCTATAGGTATTAGTCCCTATACAAAAATTTTCAATTTTATTCATGATGTTATGGAATATATAACCATGTTAGTCCTCTTTTCTAATTAGTAAACAGTTATCTATTGTTTAAATTGTCTTTTAGTTTATATACAAAAACATCATTTTTATTATTGAATCTCTCTCTCTATATATACCAGTCCCTGTACAAAAAATTAATTTCTATTTTGTCCCTATCAGTATTTTGACATTTTCATGTTAGTGTTAAATGATATTTTTTCATAATCATTAGAGGAGTTTCTAAATTCTTTAAAGAAGTTTTATATTCTACTTCATACATTTTTAATTCATAGCATCCAACTTTATGCAAGTTAACGCCTCACAAGAATATGACTAAGATTTGATATATTGGGATAATAAAAATATGAGAAGGATGAGAATACGATAAAGCAAGCAAGTGATGGTATTGGAGATGAAAATGTTGAAGATGATACTCATGTAAAAATAAATCAAGACATGAAATTAGATGTAAAAAAACCTAAGGCTTATTTGAATCATTTAGAATACTTATCTTCATATGATAGAAAAATGTCACTTGACATTTATATGAAAATGTCACTGTAACAACTGAGACAAAATTGAATAGAATTTCAAATAGGGACTAATCACTACGCTAAAATGGAGATGTGAACTTGTTCTAAAATCTTGTGTTATCTAATGTGTTATACTTAAAAAAGCAGTTAAATAACCACTCATAAATATTGATATTAGAGAGTGATTTTATGTGGAACTGCTTTCACAAAGTGAATGTCATTTAAAGAGCGGTTCATATAATGGCTCCCTAAAGTATACTGCGAATCTAAAATTTAAAATTTCTTTTTTCGTGAGTTTTCTATTTCATATGTACTATTATATATTGTTCATCATCTTCTTCATGTATGCAATCATTGTTCATAAAGTTCCACCTTTAGCTTATGAAATAATTGGTCACTTCTTTCAAATTTGTCTACTTATCTTCACATTCCTTTTGCAAAAGGTGGTTCTCCCTTTCCCTTCCTAGAAGGATTTCTTGCAAAATATTAATCTCTACTTCTTCATCAGCCATTCTTTTGTCTATTACTCTCTCGTATTGCCTCATCTACATTTTCATTAATTCCTTATCCTCCTCTAAACGCAATAACATCGGCAACTTTCTCTTCTCCAAGTGCATTTTCTAACATCTTTGCTAGTTTGGACATCATGAGTGCCTATGTACAGCAAAATACAACAAGTTAAAAGTCCAAGGTACATCTTTAACAACGACAACAAACTTAAAATAAAATGTCCTCTGATACTCGTTAAACACATAATTAAGTCTATTATGTACAAAACTATCTATTAGTCTAATTCTTTCATGATCAGTCATCCTTGTTTCTTGAAAATATTAGTTAGGATGAGGTTCTATTTTATTATTTAAACATAATAATATTTTAAAGACCAACATCACATCACAATCATAGTCATGGAACACAAGGAATCATAATAACAAAAATCTCAAAGCAATATATATTACATATACATATATTCCATCACAAATCATTATATTTCTCTCTTTTGTATACGTACTCTCAGTGCATTGTGATCACAATTATACGATGCCTCCAGCAGTTCTTCAGGTCTTACTCAATTAGGTAAATAGTTGCTAGCTAGCCCATTTATACAGATACGTATACAATAACGGCCCCTTAGCAAAGG